GAGACCTATTCCGCATTAAGTGGAAATAACAGAACATCCTCGCCTAATGTTCGGTTAATATAGAAGAAGTGGTTCGTATAAAAAAGAAAGTTAACGAATATGATCAGAAAGTGGACATGCCTCCAAAACACAGCAAGGAACAATTGAAAATGCATATACAAGACAATGACCAATTTTAGTATGGAAATGGCAGTAGCCAGCGCAAGGATGCAAGTGGTTAAAGAAAGCTAGTCCTCTTTTAGTACATATAATTTTCATTTGTAGCCATAAGCACATTTCATGGCTACCCCGATGAAGAGTAGCGGTCAAAAATAGTGGCAGACTCAGAATACTCATGGATGCAGAAGTTGAATCGGATGGTTTGATAATTGTTAGAGAAAACAAAATAATAGAAAGTTTGCGATTTACACTTACATATAAAGCAATACAATAGAATATAGGAGATAGAATAAACGTAAAATATGGTGGATAATGCCCTTAACGGAGATACTGGATTCAGCCGGATACAAACTATGAATTATACCAGAAAGTTATGCTGTAATTGTGATATCCATCAAACTGCCCTCCTCTACCGCCATCTTTAGAGCAAGTCTACATTAAACCTTTTCATTGGTCACTTTTGCACAAAAAAATCACATGTATTTACAGTCGAGGGCGCATTCCATGCAAACGGCTGACGTGGTTTCAGTTTTGACCCACACCAAACGTCCTTCAAAATTGGTGAACTTGAGGCGTGTGAGCTGGATGGCTAGTTGAGGTACACGTTTAGGCACATATTTAGGCATTGACAACTGCTCTAGCCGCAAAGTGACTAGACTTTGTGAGGAAGTGAAATTAGAAGAGCAAGCAGAGATGGCAAATGACATGAGGCAAGTAGGTCTTACCAAAGATGCTCCAACCGAACCGAAGGCCAACTGATCGGGACCAAGTTGGGAAGTCATGCCAAGCAGCACATTCGGCGAAGGTGGAGAGGGAAGCACCAGCGACCTGAAGCGCCTACCAGAGCGCATCAGCCGCCCCAAAATGGGCCAATTAGTTGAGGACAAGTCTGCAGGTTGCAAGCCTTGTTGACCATTAAGTTCCTCGGTTGGAGCCCAAGAGACCAGATAATGAGTAACCACGGCATTGGGCAAAGAGGTCTTGTTTGGGGAAGCAGTGTCAACGAACGATCGGACCGTCAGGTATGGACTGGGAGTGAAGACAATGCGAGCAACACCGGAGCTGAGCTCAATCAGATGGGGCACTCCGGGAGGTCGAGGGAGTTCTGGGAAGAGCGATGAAACGTGCAGAAAGAAGGAAAATGGGTGAGGGATTTTAGAAAAACGTCGTTTGTGGCGGTAGTCTCTATGAAAATGGTCTCGAAACTGGTTGAATCCCTCAAATTATTTAAAGCCTAATATAGCGATCCTGAATCGGTTATTTGAAGCATTGCTCTTTGGAATAGTTCCCATCACTCTGAGCCATCAAGCATTACAGAAAGCGTGACGTAGATGCGAAAAGTCACTGGGTTCAGGATAGTCTCATAAGATAACATTGTTGGGAGACTTTCATTTGCACAAGAGTGCACAAAGAAGAGATTCGAAAGTCGATTTCACCAGAAGACGACGGCTGATTCCCATTGTACTGTAGCCGTTTGGTTTTAATAAGATGATCAGGTGGACGGAAACTCAGCCTGTTTTCACCCGAAACGAGGGAGGATGTCTTGTGGACTGCGTCAACATTAATGTCGTATTAAAAGCAAACAGCTGCAGTACAACATTCGAATCTTTTCTTCATACATTTTCATACAAATGAGAGTCTCCCCAACGAAACATGTCGTCTTTTATTGCAGATAATATCATTCACGGAATCCGGCTGGTCCATATTGACCTCACGCCATATATGGTAACCATGGTCGGAATGAGGAGGACTTAAATCCTACTTTAAGAATCGTTCATGGTAAAAGACAAGTTCACCGGTGGAAGAAGTGATAAGTGATTCGAAATCAAAAGCTTGGTCCGGAGTTTAAAAGAACAAAACTTTCAAAGTCATGCTTTAGCTCAGCAAGAATGGAGTTATTAACATAAACCAAAAAATCCTAACATCATGTATAATTGCATTTTAGTTTTTTGCAGTCCTCTATGCTACGAGGTTAATTGTAGAATAATTCTGCTGGACGAGCATTCAGCTTCAAGTTATTCCATAATTTAATTGTAGCTATGATGACCAAGGAGACGTGGCTTCTTGTTTAGCCCAAGTCGACTTTAACTGCATATAATTAGTATGGTCTTGTTTACGCAACTGAACACTGCCACCAAGGTGATCTCGAAGAACGAAGTAGTAATGATAATTACCTACCTCGTACTTTGGACTT